AGGTCTCCAACCCCCTCCGGAAGGCAAAGAGTGAGGGGGCCAATCCCCCCGCCGGGGGCAAGATGTTCCAAAGGGTGGGGGCTACAGCAGAGAAGGCCTGCCTTCTGGACCCCACTAGTCAGAGCTCTGTATATGTATACAGAGTATATAAGTATAGAATATGACAAATTCTATTAATTATGTTCCATTTAGTATGTTTGTATAAAAATAGAAACCACAGTTGAGAACATACATGCCAAATCTAACCTGTTAAAGCTTTGTTACAATATTTGTATTGCAGACAATTAAACATAATTAATGAGAACTAGCCATACCTAAACAAGTTGAAAATATCCTTATTTGTTTATATTCCTGACTTACCAAAGTTTCCAGTCTATATGGGACTGGAAATAGTTCTGCCTAAAATGCTGGACAGCTGCAGCAGGCAGAATTTATAAGGCTGCCAGATCTGGGCCCCAGTGTGACTTGGAGAGATACAGAAAACTCAACTCTTAACACCTTCTAGTGGGCATCAGTACTTTTGAAGGCCAATATGGTAGCCCTAATACTGAGCTAGATTAGTGTGGACTGTTGTGGCTCAAGGCCACAATGGCCTCTTGGTCCCTTTTCTTACCCCTGTAAGACCCCTCCAAATAGGGGTGACTCCACAGTCTAAGCCCTACCCCTTTTTAAGTGTCATGGCCACCATGCATCTTGATATTTTTTACTTCTACCCCTGTCCTCCCACTTATGCCTCTGCTTCAAATCACAACTCTTGAAAACTGGAAGTATTTGAAGTTGGAAATTCAGAAAGGCTGTAAATTTAAAATGTATATTTTAAAAATAATAATCCAGACTCCCCCTCAAAGGGGAGCACAGCCTTACCTTCATGCATGACTCAGCCTTGCTTATTTTGCATCATTATTCCATCCAGTAGCATTGTTTTAAAACTGGAAGAAGAAACATCAATAACCTGTGCTATGCTGATGACACTGTTACCTTGATGGCCAAAAATGCAGAGGATCTGCAAGCTCTAGTAATAAAAGTCAAGGAGCACAGTGAAAAAACGGGACTAAAATTAAATATAAAGAAGACCAAACTAATGACAACAGGTAGAACAATCAGCCTTAGAATTAAAATGAAGATATCAAAGTGACAGATACCTTCTGTCTTTTAGGATCAGCCATCAACAGTAAAGGGACAAGCAGTCAAAAATATGCTGCAGACTAGCACTTGGTAGAGCAGCCATAAAGGCTACGGAAAAGATATTCAAATGCCGTGATGCGTCTATACCTACAAAGATCAGAATTATGCAAGCCATGGTATTTCCTGTGACACTCTATGGGAGTGAAAGTTGGACTTTAAAGAAGCAGGATAGGAAGAGTATTGACACCTTTGAACTTTGGTGTTTGAGAAGACTCCTGGGAATACTGTGGACAGTCAAGAAAACAAACCAATGGATCATCAAACAAAGCATTGAACAAAGCAGAGTTCTCACTCAAGGGGCAAGTGACCAGACTCAAAGTATCCTACTTTGGAAACATTATGTGAAGACCTAGCTCCCTAGAGAAGGCTTTAACGCTGGGAAAGGTGGAAGCAAAGAGAGGGAGAGGACAATCAGCAGCAAGAAGGACAGACTTAGTTACAGTGGTGATGAGTGCACTGTTGGAAGCACTGAAAGACCAGGTAGGGACAGATTATCATGGAGAAAATCTATCTATATAGATGCTAAGCATTGACAGCAACTTGATGGCACATAATCAATCAATCCTATCCAGAGAGAGAGAGAGAGAGATTGAGATTCAGTCAGTCAGTCATTCTGAGCCATTCCCAGTCTTCAGACTGCTAACTTCTGAATTTGATGAAGCATCTTCCTATGTTCCTGAGAGAAAAGAGATACCTGCACTTTGTTACTTCATTCTCTAAACACAGGTAACAAAGCTCAAGCTGATCTAGGACTCCAGATGAATTGTCCTTCTGAAAAAAGCCATCATTTTCTCTGGAAGAACTTTCTCCCAAACTTGTTACTTGACATTCAATCACTTGATCACACATTTTGCCAAATCTTGTTTTGGGGGTTTAGTTACTCGGCATAATTACAACATATAGGATTGGTTTTAACTATGTAAAGATGCCATTTTACACTCCTGCTTCCCTGCTGCAGCTTCTCTGTTTGGGCAGAAGCAAAGGAGCCAAAGGTTAGAGCCACTGTGGAGGAAACCACTCATCACCCTGTGGCTGCTGAATACGGTCATTCAGACTTCCCTGGCTAAGTCAACAACACAAGGTCTTCAGCAATGTGGCCTGATGATACCTGAAAGGAAATTGAAAGGACAGGACCCAGAGCACACCTACTCTATTTGATCATACAGGATGGAAAGAAACTATTGGTAATAGGTGGCTGCTTAGATAGAGAGGCCCCATGCCATAAATGGCTTTATAGGTAGCAACCAGCACTTTGAATTGCATCGACTGGCAACCAGTGTAGCTCACGGAACTGTGGTGTTACATGGGCATATTGTGTAGCACACCCAGTATTGCTTATAATGCTGCATTCTGGACCAGCTGTAGTTTCCCCGTAGTCTTCAAGGGCAACCTCATGTACGACACATTGTAATAGTCTGTACATGAGGTGACAAGGACATGAATGACTGAAGGGAATCTGGATCCAGGAATGGATGCAATTACTGCACAAAGTGGATCTGTGTAAAGGTCTTCTTGGCCAAGCTCCTTGAGCTGAGAGTCTAGGAAGACTCCCAGATTGCACACCAGACCCAAATGGAGAAGTGCTAGCTCATCCAGGACTAAAGATGGAGATTCTCTGGGATTGGGAGGCCCAAAAACCCGTACGGCCACTTAGTCTTTTTGGTTTGAACCTGAATCTGTTCCTCCCCATCCAGACCTTCAAGGCTCCAAACACTGGGACAAGACTTTGACAGCATCACTGGACAGATCTGGGTCAAGATATACAACTGAGTATCATCAGCAAACCAACAATGCCAGACTTTGAACTGATGGAATACCTCACCCAGTGGCCTCATACAGTTGTTAAACAGAACCAGTGAGACCATCAAGCACTGAGATTCCCCCAGATTCCAGGACTCAACCTTGTAGACAACTTCTCTTACTGAATTATCTCCTACGGTTATTAGCTTGGTCTTTTTATATTTAATTTTAGTCTCATTATTTTCACTGTGCTCTTTGACTTTTATTACTAGAGCTTGCAGATGCTTTGCATTTTTGGCTATCAAGGTAGCGTCATCAGCATAGCACAGGTTACTGATATTTCTTCCTCTAGTTTTAAAACTATGCTACCGGATGGGAGGATGGGATAATGCGCTGAATTCCAAGGACAGAGGAAGGTGCCTTCTGTGCCTGTTTAGCTTAGTGGGCTCTCTCCTGGCTGACAGGCAGGCAGACAGGAGTCTTTGCCAGTGCTACCGAGAAACACAGCTAAGCGTAGGGCACACCTAATATATTAATGTCCTGCTGGTGCCCTCTTGGAAATGGAATGCTGCATTAGATGGGTTTAATCCAGCAAGAATCTTGTTATGTTCTAATTCTGAATAACAGCCTTTCCCCAGGTCTTATAAGGAAAAAATGAAGGTAATGAGAAGAGTTCTTTGGCAATAGAACAAGACTGCTCAGTGGGGCACTTTTTTACAATATTATTACAGACTTTTAAGAGTTTTTAAAAAACATTTTAAATGATTTTTTGAACTGTCAAAGGATTCGATTGGGTAGTTATTGAGGTCTTTACTCATTTGATGATTTTAATAGTTCACTAGTATTTTATTCAGCGAAACTAAAAGTCCAGGTTTGTGTTCCCCATGTTTCTACTAGATCCTGGGTGGAGAGAAATCTAACCCGATTTTTCTCCAAGGCAGTTTCCCTCTAAGCTCGTAAGAGGGATGGGACGGGGAGAAAGGCAAGGGGCGCGACGGAAGGGCCGGGAGAGGCTCGCCTGCTTGCCGGCAGCGCCGCGGAAGCTCCGGGAGGGAGCAGCTGCCAGAGTCCCTCCCGGCGCGCGCTGCAGCGGGCACCGAGTGAGAGGGGTGGAGCCGGCCGGATTGCACATCAGGGGCTGGCTGGATCCCAGCTCTCCGAGGAGGAGGCGTGGAGTTGGCCGTTTGCCGGCTACCGTGGCCAGGCACCTGGGAGCCCAGCAGCCGGACACGAGCGAGCTTTGGGGGTGGGGGCGACAGGCCAGGGCAGAGACCCGTTTGGCCCGCCGGCGCGAGAGGCGAAGGGCACCCCAGGAGTGACGGGGGAGGGACGGGCGTGGGACCAGAGAGTGAAAGCGACAACAGATACAGAGGCGGGGAGGAGGCGCCCCGGCAGCAGAGGTGGCCAGACGGGCCTTGCAGCTGCCTCGTGGGGCAAAGAGGGAGCACGCGGAGACCCAACGATCATGGAAGGCGGCTGCCACCCCCAGCAGCAGGAGGCGGTGGAAGCCTGGCTGGATGATCACGGAGACTTCACCCGCTCTTACTTTGTTCGAAAAGCCACCAGGTAAGCGCAGGAGCACCTTCCTTCGCTCCGGCGGTGCGGTGCGGTGCGGTGCGGACGGGGGGGGGCGGGGGGCTGGGAGATGGAGGGAGGGGGAGAACAATTTCTCCTCCCTCCCCTTCCTTGGAAAAGGAGAAGCAGCGGCGAGGATTTTCCACGAAGCTGAAAGCAGCAAACAAACAGGCGCTCTGTGTCGAGGCTCGGAGTTCCCCGTGCAAATAGTTCTCTGGGGTTTCGCTGCGGTGTAACCCAGGCTGGCCGCTTGGCAGGCTTTACTCTGTGCCCAGCTCTAGTTGAGATCTTTGAATGGGAGAAGGGCGCATGACCTCTCCCTTTCCCCTTCAGCGCCTTGTTAGGGACTTCGCTTCGCAGCAACGGAGACATTCACAAGCTATATTCGCACGCGAAAAAGTTATCAGCTCAGCCTCGACGTGCCAACGCTCTCGCGCGCTCAGCATAACCGGGAGCCTGTTCATAGCAATCCCCTCAAAACCTGAAAAGCTAGCTTTCCCCAAGTCGAGATTCTCCGGATGTGTTGGACGGCAGCTCCTACCTGAGGCCCTGGTGGCTGGGGATAAGGGGATGCGCTGAAGACCCGACTCCAAGTCCTGTGGAAGCCAATAACTGTATTTTCTAGATTCGTAAGGCTGACAACCCGAGCAAGCACGTGACCGTTCCGTCGGATTTTATAAGCAGTACGAGTTTCCATTTAGCCTCCAAACCCACGAAGAGTTTATTTCGAGCCCTGAAGTAGTTGGCTGGATTGTAATCCATATGAATTCCTTCTTAGTTGCTACCTAATATAAAATAAAAATCAAATTTTATTTTAGGCTATCCCAATTTCATGGAATCGTTAATGGAGGATTATCACGCTTCTATTTTACCTAGTGGATAAATCGCAAGAAAAATACCCTCCCCCCAAAAAAAGAAAGGAAAGGAGGAGTTAGAAAAATAAAAAACACTTTTGTTAGTATACAGAAGATTTCTGCTTTGCGGCCCGCTCACTAGCATTTAGATGGATAGAACAAGCGACCTCGAAGGTAACTGGCCTCTCTCTACAGCAAAGGAGAGGGACTAAAGCTTTTCAGTATTGGGGGCAGCTATCTTGCGCAGAAGGACGAGGCAAAGCCACGGAGAGCCAACGCATTAACGTCACGACAGAGCTTCCATGTGCCGAGGCAGTATACCATGAAACCCAAATACAGTACTAGGACCTTTACCCTTTCCTCGGAAGCATCACTGCTGGCTGGGTACATGGAAGCGGGATACACGTGTTCTTAAAGAAGGACAAGGGGGATGCATCGCATTGCTGGCAGCAGTAACCGGGATGACGTTTGGGGTAACTCGGGAGCCGGGGCAGTAAGAGCGGTGCTCTGGCTAAGAAGCTGCGACGCGACAGCAGGGTCGCGGCGGGGGCGGGGGCGACCCTCGCTTCCTAGGCGTGCGTTCGGGAGCTCAGCTCCGAGGGCTCGGCCGGGGAGGGAGCTGTTGGCGGCGGCGGCGGCGCGCCCGCCCTTCTCCGCCAGGAGGCAGCGCTGCGCTTTAGCGGCTCGAAGTAG